CGAAAGCACGAAAGTACACTCAAAAAAATGAAAGAGTGGTTAGTTGCCTGGATCCAGCCACTCTTCCTAGATTGTATGATGTCATCTCAACAAGAACAAATTAAGTTGCTGAATTTCATGCAGATGCTACATGATTTAATTACATTCACCATAGAAACATGGAATTATTTAGTTCAAATTACAAGTTTGGATCTTATGCATGCAACAACATTTTTGTGAGTCGACTCACGAAATTCAAAAGATCAGATTAGCTGTCAAACCACAGGAAAATCAGTGGGGTTACAAGAGGCAGACAACCACACCACGTGTATGCTGTTACTATTTCTTATGGTTTAACTTGTCAAGGACAACGACATAAAGCATCATCAAGCATAGCTTTCCTGCTTTTGTTACGTCTGTATTGACAGATTAATGCCGTGGTGGTTCGTGCTGTTGCCTCAGAGCAAGAAGATCCTGGGTTCAAATCCACAATGTGACGAAGTTTGCAGTTGGTTCTCTCTGCGTACTCTGGTTTCCTCCACAGTTAAAAGTTGTGCAGTTGTAAGGGTAACTGGTTATTCTAAATTACACAAAGGTGTTAAAGTGCAAATGGTTGTTTGTCTCTGTATGATAGACTGGCGACCTGTCCAGGATGTACCCTGCCCCTGTTACTCTATCACTTCCACAGCCCAGATAAAGATAAGAAGATGGGTGGATTGGAAGTTGCTGTAAATCCATTGATTTTTTTTGTTGAACATTACTTAATATGAATACAACATGTACTACAGACATAAGTTACATTTCATTCATTCAACAAGATTATCATTGGTGTAACAAACAAATGTTTTACTAGTTCATGTAACAAGACTGACTTTTGATGTGCCAAAGTGTTTAAACAATATGAGATGGATTTAAATAAATCTAATTAGACTAATGTGGTACAAACATGTTGATTGAACAAAAGTCAAATTAATTGAATGTTAATGTTAATATTATGTTAAACCTACACACATATATCGTGTTGACACAACACGATTAAGATGGATTAATATAACATGATTTGTTTAGATGGAATATAAGTGGCAAGATAAAATTACGTTCATCCAATGAATTATTTTTTTGAGTGTAAACTGCCAACGTGTCCGAACCCAACTCCAGAAACATTCAAATGTGAAGAAAAACAGAACATTAAAAATCTCATGAAGAATACATATGAAATAACGTTCATGGATATTTTGTGTTTGATGTCAACACGTCTCAGAGGTACTGAGAGGAAACCGCTGGTCATCTCGATCAGGGTAAGAGACGCAGCGTCAGCTCACCAATCAGCACAAACTGGAGAACATCATCAGCTCAGTGATATCAACACTCAGAGACTCTCTGTGCAACAACATCGTTCATCAGGTTTGGACGCTCGTGATCTTCGGGCAGCATTAAAAGCAGCTGAATGGAAGTTAAAGCATCAAAGGATGTTTAATGTCGTTTCTTTCTTCAAACTCAGTCTGAAGGCTTTAAGTCACATAATCAGTTTAAGTCTCATGACCGTCGCGCTGCTGTCATTTATTTCCTTTTCATCGTGCTGGCTGTTGCACTGCTACAGCCTCTCATCAAACTCCTTCGACAGTGAAGAGTTATATTTAAGCACAGACAGAGTCAGCTCTTTACCCAGCACAGGAGCTAACAAGCCCTCCACCACCGAGGTCAGCTCCCTGTTTGCAGCACTGACCTGATACGTTGGTTTCAGCCTGTTCTTATGTTCTTCCAACATTTCCTTGGTGTAATAATCTTTGCCCTCTGCCTTGTTAGTTTGCACCACCTGGTTGATTTTGTCCACCAGCTCCTTTACTTTTTCAGCTTTCTGCTCTTTTTCACCTTTGTTGTTAAGGACACAGTAGTTCTCTGTTTT